CAAAAAGATAATTAGGAACGGTACGTAGTAATAAGGAAGCGGTGAATAGCGAATAAAAAAGAAAATTCATATCATAAAATGTCACAAAACCTTTATTCGACGGTCAAATCTCTCAGATCAACGGCTGAGAATCAGTATCAGAGCCTCAATTTTTCTGCGAAAGTCTGTCCCATGAAAATCAGAAATTTCGAGCTGCATGTAAGTTGGAACTTGGAACTCTAACATGTTAACTTGATGACGATCACATAAAAAAACAACTTTAAAAATATAGAAACTAATAATATTGGGTTGGCCCGTGATCAGCCCGCCCCGGTCCGCTTTGGACCGCGAATTGAATGGGCCTGGCCAAATAAACCCACGATAAAACGGGCTGAATGACCCATGGGCCAAGACCTTTTTTGACCATCCTAGATATCAATAATTTGCTATCCCGAATGAGGCCCTTTAGTCACATTTGGGTTTTCCAGTTATAAACGAGGTTATAAATGAGGCCCAGAAGTTGAATAGAGGAGATAACCATTACTTGTTTTGAATGCGATTTATATAAAACAACAAGATATAAGATTTGGGAAAATGCTACGGTCCCGTTACGGAATCATTCTGTTAGAGTTTGTAACCGTTAGATCATCACGTAACCATCGGGAATAGTTGATCTAATTGTTACAAACTCCGATGGAATGGTTCCGTAACGGGACCGTATCATTTCCCTAAGATTTGTCTAACAACTATGATCAATTTGCAAAAGGGCGTCCCCAACTATAATCAACTCCTCTTGCACATATGTTTAATTATTATAAATTATATGCATGTAAATAATATTAAATTATAAGTTAGATAATAGTATAATATTTTAAAAATTCTATCACTGGTAAAAATGAACATTATTATAAAAGTATTCGACTGGTTAGCATCAAAAGATGTGTAATAACATCATATTTTGCTTTGGATATATGAGAATTGGATGTATATTCAAGTGCACAGTGGCGAAGCTACGTTTAGTGGCTGGGGTCGTCCGACACCGACGATTTGCGTTGAACCACTTGTACGTAACAAAATTCCACCGTGTAAGACTCTATTAAAAAAATAATAAGACCCCGACAACAGGGGCGGATCTATATATGGGCGAGCCTAGGATTTGTCCCGACCCCAGCCACCAAAATTTCTAGCTTCGCCCTGCAAGTGCAGTTGTGTGGTCTGTTAGAGAACAAATGAGTGTGTTTTTTTGCTTTGCTTTTGTGGAGCTTTAATCATGGCAAAGTCTTGAAAATGGATTTGTTGGGTGAAAAAGGGTGATGTGAGTGATACCTTTACACATGAAAACAAAGAGTATACTACTACAACGAAGTGGTGACGATACCAAAACTAAAGTTAGATACATTGATTGAGTGAAATATTTAAAAGGTGGTTGAATAGGTGAGCATGAGTCGGTATTGTTTGGAGATGAAGAAGTCTCAGAACCGTACCAAAAATTGATTCAGTTTGTTTTGAAGATTTTTATTTTGATGTTAGGTTTGGTATTAGAGATTGTCGGGATGGTTCAGTTCGATTTTTGGTTGCGCCGGATATTTTTGAATATTTTTCAACTTATTTCGAATGATTATTAGTTATATTTAAGTTTTGATATGTTTTTTTTTTTTAAAAAAAAAAATCCAATACTCATCCATAGTTAACTATACTAAAGATTATTGTAGCTCAACGGTAAAAAAATAAAAAATAAAAAAAAAATCAAAGATTATATTCGAAATGGACTTAAGAAAATATAGAAGTAACTCAAATTATTAATAAAGACTAACTTTGTACAATTAATGATGGAAATTTGAAATAAAAATAAAAATAATATATTCTTTTGAGTATTTTTTTATTTTGTCATACCATTTCTATTATAAGATGGAATATTAAGAAAAATATCAACAAATGTGGTATAAATATATTTTTCAATTAATTGTAGATCAAGTACTATAAAACATAAAATTTAAGTGAAATTTAGTTGTTATTACTATATGTTGTTAATATTTAAAAATAATAAAATTGTATAGGATTAAAATTGACATAAAATATATGTAAGGGACGGTTCGGTTCGGTTCAATCCTCAGTATAGATATTTGTGAAATTTTCAGGACAATACCTACAATTAATTTTTTATTCGGTTTGATTTAAAATAAATCAAACAATCAACGATTATTTTTCTATTCATACATAAGAGTGATTTTGGTTCAGTCGAGTCTCATGCTCAACCCTGAATTAAAGCATCAAAATTGAAAGTTTGCTGCTACGTCTCTTTACGTGTAAGATGACATCTTCAAATTTTATCACTTTCACATCATAAACTAATTCGACTTATTGAATAGTGCATCAAATTTAATGGGAAAAAAAAAAAAAAAAACTAAAAAGTACTATCTTTTTAAGAGACAAAATATTAGCATATATATTAGATTCGAACCACGGTTAATTGTGATGAACAAAATTGAAATTTTGCGGAACTTTTTTTTTTTCTTTAAATTTTTTTGCCTCTTTTTCCATGACATCAAAGTCAACTTTACAAACTTAATCACGCCGCAATTAGTGGGGTGATACGCACTTTTTATCATATGTAAATGGTAGGATCCCGTTACTGTATCATTCTGTCGGGTATATAATTGTTAGATCAACTATACCTGACGATTACATGATGGCCTAACGGTTATAAACCCCGACATAATGGTTCCGTAACGGGACCGTAGCATTTCTCTCTTTCATCTTTTCTTAAACAAATATTTTATATTTAGATTATCTTGTAACATTATGTATTTTTAATCCTAAAAATCATAAAATGCCTCTCAAATAAATGTCATTAAAAATGTACAAATAGAAAGTAATTACGTATCATAGTGCAAGATGAGAAAATCTATTGAAATTTATAATGTCCAACTACTATATATATGAAGTCTAAAAAATAACTGTCATTGTACAACGATAATACCAGATATATATGTACTTTGGATTTTTTTTTAGCCAGCCACGATATTTAGAACTATATCCCAACTAATACGTTGGTCGACCCGGGTCACACATTTGACATAACATATAATAATGTCTATAAAATCATATTTTTAAAATAGTGATTGAGCCAACATAATAAGATGTTTCACGATCATTTAGACTTGGATAGATCAAATGGACCCAACAGTTGTCTCATCCCCATTTCTATGATTTAATGCATAAATATAACATGTCCAAAAGAGCTCACTAGAAGTGCCTTTTGGCTTCTTGAATTGAGAAGAAAGTATTGCAAAGGTTACTCAACTAATTATTTGGAATTACCCATGAGCGCTTGGATGAGATGGTTTGGGTCTCTTCCAGCTTAACCAGTGGTCTCGTGTTCGATTCCTGAGAATGCAGCAGTGTTAAAACTCTTTAGGGAGAGCTTTGCCGCCCTCGTGGTCCTACCCGGCTCGATTCCGGATTAGTCGGTTCCCTTGTGGATCCGGAAACCGGAATGTGCCTGTACCAAAAAAAAAAAAACTAATTATTTGGAATTAAACTTACACAATATTTGATTTATTTCATTCTTAAGTTCACCCTATCAATAAATTGCCAACATGCCTTAGAATGTGTTCAATGTATGTCTCTAATTAGTAATTACCATTTCAAGAGAAGTAACATTGTTAGTGCGGTTAACTCTATTTTATATGGTTAAATTTATAGGAAGGC